TGTCCTCTGAGTCTGAGCATTCTTCCAGGGCGACGCATTTCCACCTGCACTCTCCCCCAATTCCTCCCCTCTCAGATGCCAGTACTCCTGCCCCTGTCCCCCTCCATCCCAGCCGCCCACACCTCCGGCTCTTCGGCCAGCGCCGTGCCAGGGCGGAAAATCCCGGCATTCCTCAAAGCGCTCTCACTTCCCTCGCGCCAGAGCTTATAAATACCCCTGCTTGTCCAGCCGGGATTCAAATTCAGTTTATCTATCCTGCTGCCCCCGCTCCACCACGAAACAACGCCTCTCTGTGCGTGTGGGCGGTTATTTAGCATGGAAGAGATGGATAACTGTGCTTTTAAAATAACCTTAATTATTCCGTTATGCAGAACACTCACTTCATTCATTGATGGAGATTGAAAAGTGTATAAACTTTAGAAAAATGTAAAGCACTTCATAAATGTCATTCAACATATACATCCATCGCATCCATAAAATAAAACCCTACAAACATAAGCATGAAAGCCTTTCACGTCCAGATTTTAAGGATCAATAGATGTCACTAGAAATACACACAAATGAATAGATTGCAGGTATTTGTCTTAAGCTTTTTACACATAAATTATATTTCTAATTCATCAGATAAGTGTTTTGGACCAAAACGCCCTGAAACAAAGAATTAAGAAAAAAAAGACTTGTGCACAGCTTAAAAGCCTCTTTCAAATTTGTTTGTGCGCACCTTGGTCCAGCCTCCTGTACTGGATAGACAATGTTTTCAAAACATTTCTAAATCATGTGAAATTGACTCATCCTGTACTACAACATCCTGCACACTCATGAGCACCAGAACTGTATATTACAGTACTGTATTTCCGCATACCTGGCGTACTGTTCCTTATTGGCTAACCTTGCCACTGAATCATATGAAGCTGTTTGCCCTGCACAGTTATCTCCAGGCACCTACAACTCTTTGTGTAAATTAACACGCAGGCCATCGGAAATGAAGCTATAGTGCCTCTTGTCTGCTGCTTGCCCTCAGTCTCATGGGTGCTGGGGGGGAAAGAGTAGACAACTGGTGAATGTTGATTTGATTTGGTCTGGTGGTGGGACTGCTTGCTGTCTCAATGCAATGAATACCTGCAACCCCGGAGGTCAGGAGCTACCTAGTCCCTTAGTTTTCAATCTACATCTCATTAGTTAATTAGACAAATGATTCCCCCCTCCCCCTTTATGGCTGTCAAACAGATCATAACTGCATAACACCTGTAAAATATATCACAATCCAGGCCTTCAGGACTAGAGTTGATATTAGAAATAAAAGTTAAATGTAAAAACTCTGAGACTACAGCAGCAAATGACAAACCCTTTAAAGTTAATTATTTCCTCTAAGTTTAGCTTGAAACCTGTTAGTGGTTTTCCTTGGGAAGACTGAGCACGTTTTTGTATATTAAATGGTTTACTGATATAGTTGTATACAAATTGTAATGCAAAAAGGAGACGATTATTAAACCTAACACAAATCAGCTGTGAACACTCAAGTGGAAGGAACATGGAAGTACAAGTAAAACCGAAAACAGGAGGCATTTCTTTGCACAAAGGGTTGTGGGAGTGTGGAACACCTAAGCTGCTGCATTGTTAAAACTGATACCTTGGCTTGTTTCAAGAAAAAGTTGGATGAGATCTATGATTAGGTATTTCAAACGAGCTAGACAGGAAGAATCACTTCTATTCCTTTCCAAATGTCTCTTGGAATTTACTTAATCTCCTGAGCAGGATTATCTATATGCTGCTTTTACATTGATATTTTCCTCTACCCATTCTGAATGTGCTGTTTGCTTTTTAAGGTGGCGTGGGAATAAACATGCATTGCTACATTTTCTGGCATGCCAGAGAGGTGAAATACCAAAGTTTTTTTTTTTAAAGTAATTGTCACGTTTCTGAAATATAAAACCACGGAAAGGGTCAAAACCTGTGTATAACCAGCTCGGCAGCCTCTTCTTTAAACCTGCTGGTTACATCACAGCCCTGCTGGGTGTGGTTTGCAGACACTGCCCTGTTTAATAGCATTGTGTGTGTGAGAGAGAAGAATGTGTGTGAAGAATAATGCTTAGCCAGCAGCCTCCCCAGCCAGTGCCCAGCTATTATTGAAGGCACAGAGCCCTGAGCTCAGCATTCTGTACCTTTGTGGGGGGACAAAAAAACTGCCAGATTCTTGACAGCACCACTGAAATGTCTCCCTCACTCCAGCTCCTCTGCAGAAGTAAAAACAGCGGCTTATACAGTATCTTGGCCTAGGATGTCACACACAGCAGTGTTTTTTTTTATTTGGAGGAAATGTCTGATTTAAACAGTGGTTTTAACTAATGTGAATTTATCTCAAACTGTCAACGCCCCAGGATATAGCTCTGTGGGACGCTTGGTGGTTAGGTCTACTTGTCTTTCAGCTCCTGGGGTCAGTTCCAAATTGAGGCATCCTTCCGTGTGGAGTTTGCACGTTCTCCTTATGTTTGGAGCAGTTTGAGTTGCTCTTTGCAGGGGGGACTTTATTGCTTGAACAGTGTGTTCCCAATACAACAGCACTATAGAGAAAACCAAGTGAAACTGATGGTTAAATAGGTTCTTCCCATTTGTGCACTTTCAGATGTCACGTTTTTTCTTTCCAAGAATTAAAGGAGACTCACATGCAGTTATGTCGTTATAATGTGGTCGCACAAAATAAGGAATTATTACAAGCATTAAAGAGTGACAAAATACTTTACTATCTCTTCCATCTGTCCTTTTTACCCACTGACTTTCCAGCCATCCATTTTCAAACTGCTTTGCCCAAGCCAATCCTGGCAAGCAATGGGCACAAGGCAGAAGATGCATACTTTGGATGGGACGCCAGTCTGCCGCAGGGCGCATACTGATCCTAACACAGACACGTGCACGCTCACACCTGGGCCAGTTTTTCCAGAAGCCAATTACACTCCACAATGAACTTGGAATTAAACTTCAAGCACACAATTGGTAAGATTGGGAGTAACAGCAGCAGTAATGCCAACGGAAAGAGCAGCAGCAAATATCACAGTAGCAGCAGAACTATAGCAACTGTTGGTAGGAGTGGAAACCACTTCTGTACTGTTACAGAAGTGGGTATGGTTCTGCCTATTAATTCTGATTTTTTTGTCTGTTTGTTTTGGAGAGAGAATGATCATTTGCTTATTCTCCGGACTGGCGTGCCACTTAATGGTGCAGTAATGCAGTTTTGGAAACATTACAGGGTTGGGTGCATTAAAAAAAGCAATGAAAATGTCAGTGCTGATCTCCTTCAACTGTCCACTTACTTGAACCAGTGTCGAGGGTGGAACAGGCCAAGGGGTAGTCCTGCTGTCCCCGATAGGGGAGTCCTATACCCTATTGAAGCTACAGATTCCATAGATTTCCATGCAGAGTCACAGGCAGTGCATTCATGTGCATCCTGGAATTTAATCCTGTAAAACATCACAATCTACTGTACTATATTTTTCTGGTGTTGTATATAAATGTCAGAAATTGCATTTAGTTAAATCAATCAACCTGAGTATACACACATCGTCTGTCACTACAGTCAAAACAGTAGAGCTGTATTTCGCCTGTTCCTACTACTGTATCTGTAACGATAGTCCAGCACGTCCAGGTGAAATTACAGACTATAAACTATGGCTCTGTGTATGGTCTGTTCCTACTATCGTAACTACACCGTGTTTATCGCTGATAGTACGGACACAGCTACAGCCATGAATATCCCGTTACTGCAATAAAAAAACTAAACTTCTAAAACTATGTTGTCAAGTTAAAAAACTTAAGTTACAGCTGACAGAGATGCCCCTGTGATTTTCCAATGACATGTTTGGTCTAGTTTCTGAGCCAATGCTCCTCTGATATTGATTTTTTTTTTCGGGTAGTTTAAGTCACCTGTGCCTTCATTCTAAAAGCCATTCGAATTAGAAGTTAATCGTCTGACACCACACGCTGAGATACAGGTCTCTAGTTTTATGGGTGTCTCCGGAGGATTTGTGATCCACGTTTGTCAGTTATGTGCCTCTCGCTGTGACAAGACACTGTGTCAGTCCAGATTCGTGGACTCTCCCGTGTCTCGACCGTTATTCGTTGTTTTCGACGCGTCGATAAAATCTTGTTTTCAATTCATAACCCGTTGAAAAAAGTAACAAACAGTTTGAAATGGAATTTTTTTTTTACTTTATGCGTGCCCCGTGACAAAGGCCCTGTAGATTTCTGCAGAGTTGCCGGAAACTTTGTACGGTTGTATTTTTATCTCCGGTTTTATAACAATATTTTGAAGACCGGACAGCAGTGCTCCAGCGTCTGGGAAACTCCCCCGTTGCTATTTCTTTCTTTCTTTGTGCCATTGGCTCGAATATTACTGACAAGAAAAAAAACACCCCTCCTAACTGGCAACGTGGGCGGGAGTTCCCGGAAAGCTTCCCTCGCAGTGACGTCACCAGCAAGAAAATGACCATATATAGACATACTCCTGTGCGTCAGTAGGAAAAGACCCCAACGCGCTCACGTCACCGACGTCAGGGCCGCCTCTGCGTGTGTACATGTTCACCTTTCTACAACTTTCTTCGTGAGGTTGTGCTGACCAGCACCCCGTAAAGATAGAGGAGTTTTGGAAAAACTCTTTCCAGGGGGGGTGACAGGTACAGTGACGCAGGCTACCGCGGCAAAAACAACTTTGGGGAACCGTGTTTTTCCCCAATACAAGAAACGTATTGACTTTAAAAGTGACACTTCAGAAGTTTGAGTTCACTGGTCTATATATATATATAAACTATCCTCCTTGCTGAAGGCTGTCGTAAATAAGGACAATTAAGCGTGTCAGTACAGAAAAGAGTGATCACATCAACTACAACAATTCTGACCAACCATTATGAATGATATCTTGCTACGATACATACCCGTGTAAACCTGACCTGTTAAGTCAAACTTTATGCACTAATTGAGCGCGTCAACAATAAAACACACACCCGGTATTTCATTTTAAAAGACTTTACTTAAATAGTCCTTGTACAAAAAAAAAAACGTAAACACGTGACAGATTCTGCGGGGTCAACCCGACAAATAATTTAAACCATAGTCTTCCTCGGAATGCAGCATCAAAACAACGTAAAAAACATAAGAGACAAAACATTACCCGCCCTCCTAAACTATAATTATTGAAATAGGTCGGATATCGGCATCACGATACTCCGAGTGTTTCTAAACCGTCTTTGGTGTTACACAGACATAAGTGCATCACACAGGATGATAAATTGATCCCTTTAAGCAGTACAGGCGATACCGGAAGTACCATTCAAACGAATCCATAGAAATATGGAACCATTTCTTAAAAAAAAAAAAACAGACTTAAAAATATGACCATCATTCGGCTACAAACAAAACGCAACAACTTGCTCATTTTCGAAAATGAAAAGAAATACAAAATGGCTCAATATTCATATTGACAATACAATAGGATATTCCAGTGCTGTAATCGTTCGTCGTTTCGTCTTGTTTTACAAAATAAAACAAGAGATTGAAGCAGTCTTATCATCCAGTGTTTCTGTGATCTCCTAGTGTCTCTTGGCTCTTCTTCACCACCTCTCTCTCTTTAAAACGACTCCATCTTGGTCGTTAGCATGAGCTGACAGCCGCTGCTAACGTGGGTCATAACTTTCTGCTTGAGCTGCGCCACCTGCTCCCGCAGCAAAGACGCCGTGTTGGACAGGCCGGCATTGTCCGATTTGAGGATTTTGACCTTCTCCTCCAGGCGGGCGATGCGCTCCAGCTTCCGCCGGCGGCATTTCGTGGCCGCCAGCCGGTTCCTCAGCCTCTTCCGCTCGGCCTTGATCCTCTCCTGGTTCTCCATGTCGATGGGGGACATCGGAGGGGAGCCGTCGCTGCTCTGGAGGTCCGGCACGATCTGGGGCTCTTCCTTGAGCGCCACGACTCGCTGCGGGTGCAGGGCACTGGCGGAGAGCGCGTGCGGGAAGGAGTGCGCTGCGTGCGCAGTCGCTTGTGGTTGGTGAGGGTGATGATGCGGCAAATAGCTGATAGTGGCGGTGGGGAAGTTGGGAGCCGACGTGAGGTTAGTGTTGGGAGAGTAAGTGTTCAGCGTGGTGTACACGGGCGGCTCCGGCTGCAAGGAGGAGCCGTAGATGCTGGGTGCCGCCGTGCACGTCGTAACCCCGCCGGCTCCAATGGACACGTTGGGCGGGGGCATTTGGTTCATTTTGTGGAGTTCGTCCAGGGCTTTCACAAAACCATCCGCGAACCCTTCCTGCTCCTCTGTGATGCCCCTGCTGTAAAAATACTGCCCCGGGGTGGGTGTAGTGGTGATGACCCCGTTGCTGTTCTGGATAATGAGTCTCTCCAGCTCGGGGGAGGCGAGTTTGAGCGAGCTGACGTCGGCGCCCGCCTGGTAGAAGTCGTTCTCGGCTCGCAGCTGGGACTTGAGGTTCCGGTAGGGCTCGCTTAGGTTCAAGTTCATAGTCTGCTTCAGCAGTTTGTAGTCTTGGAGCGCAGCGTCTGGGTGGCCATAAGCAGAAAGAAACGAGTCGTCATGATAAAATGGTTGTTCCATTTTTGTAGACATATGATTAGGAGCACAAATAATAGCAGCTGCTGTTGTAGCTGTAAAAAAAAAATGCTACTTACTACCAGGAGGTAGTGGAGTCTTTTTTGCCTCTGTGAAAGTAGCCCACTTAATTGACGTGGAGAAAAAAAAAATACAAGCGGCAGAGAAGTGCCCAGTATTGGCACTGGACAAACTGGGTAGTAACGCACTTATGCTCTACAGTAATGCTTTCTTTTAACCTGCTGGGAAGCTGCACAAGGAAAGTCCTGCAGCGAACAGCATGCAAAAGTCCAGTTATCGGCGCCTGTTTGGTTAAGACGCCTGTATGCCGAGTAAAAGGACCAGCCTTCTTTATGCTCTTTCAGCACTGAGTCCCGAGACGGCAAAAATAAATATTCACCCCAGCTCAGCACAATAGTTATCAAAGCAGTCCCTAAGTATAGTTGAACACTACTGTACCAATTGAACGAAAACAGCTTCTTGACAGCCCAGGAAAAGTGATGAATCCGATGATGAATTCTCGTTTCGATCTTCTTTTTCCTTGTACTTCGGCGCTGGTGCTTATTTGTGTTATTTCGCCTGATGCACGATATGTACTTCCCAAACTTTCCCGAAGCGCATGTTCTCTGCTTGAAAGCCAAACATGCCTTTTTATATATACACCAGGCACGCTCACATGCTGCCTGGAAGTCCAGAGGCGGCCTCTGATTGGCCGGGGCTCCGTGTGATGACGTACGCCACGCCCCAGCCTCTACCCGAAACGTCAGAAGGCGATGACGCGCTTGCCGGGAATCGCTGGGTTTGTAAACAAGCCTTCGGGCAAAAAGCAGTGCTGCATAGCAGTAGTCTTTTCTATGTGGGATTCTAAACCATGGATCTGCTTTCATCCACAGCACCGTAACATTCACACTGCGTTCGGCTGCCAAAACTCCTGCATTTAATTAGAATATGTTTTGCTTGTGTAATGGTTTATCGTGTGCGTCTGCTTTCCTTTTTTAAGACGCGTTGCCTGAAAACGTCGCTGCTCAGTTTGCCTGCTCCTCCGTTCGGTTCAGCCTACGCAGACAACACGAATGTTAACCGTGTGTAATAGAACTTCTTAACAGAATAAACGGGCAGGAAAACGGCTTAACTGCTAGCTGTATTCTCGAAAAATGTTACATTTAATAAAAAATAAGGTAATTTGTCTCCAAACACGTGCCGGACGCGGTTTTTGTTTTTTTGTTGGGTTGGTTGTTTATGATCTCTAGCCGACTTTAAAGGGAAATGGTTTGTGGTGAATGGGTCAATAAGGTTGTAAAGACGTAGCTTTAGCACGTCACAGGAACGCTATACGTTTGCATTGACACTTTATAGAAAGGGACATATCTCATTTACCATATATAAGAATATATATATATAATAACTGTACATAAGCTTCCCGTGTTGTTCAATAGAAATTAGGATTATTAGTTCCACTGGCGCGTAGATAGTGATGATAATGTTAAAAGTTGCAATAGGTATGGGGTCTGGCGTTTTACACAATATGAGGAATTGTATGCGTATGGCATAATGTTGTAATTTGTATTATTTACTAATACACTTTTAGTCATTTGAGCGTTATGGCGTGAATGTACGCTAAACGCTGCCAGTCTCGTTTCCTTTAAGAGCGGGGAGTATCATAGGATATCTCCATCCTCCTTCTAAGAAATCTCAATCATCTTTTACTGACGATCATTGCCCCTCTATACTTTCCTCTCGGGTCCCCGCAGCCGATATAGGAAACGGGGACGGAACCGGGGTCTGTGCTGGGTCTGTGCTGGGGCCGATGCCCCCCTCCCCCCTTCAGACCACTTCCGTTGCCGGTATCTGTCTCGTGCGGTGGTGTTTTCGCTCAGAAGGAAACGACCACATCCAGGCACACCCGCAGGACGCGTAGACAGGCATTTTCAAATTTTGAATTCAACGGTGATAGCGCTTCAACCTCATTATTTACTGAGCCAACACGCCAACTTCCAAATCGTGCCACTTTTCCTGCTGCGAGGGCGGTAGAAGTGCCCTGTTCCAGACAGCTCTGGCCCCGGTGCGTTTCTTTATCACGTACAACAGCCTTCCCTGACGCCTAGATAAGTTTTGACGCCTCCGGTCTTCCTTGAGGGAGTGATTATTTTACTACTTTCACCGAAGAAAATCACATGGGGACGTGTAGCACATTGTTTAGCGACCATTCTAGAGAAACCGTAGTGGGCAGAGACGTTTTACAACCTCTGAGGCACCGGCGACAGGATCATTCCAAGAAGACCATAATAACCAGTGTTAACATGCTGATAAAGGTTTCTTATTAAACGGCTGGGGGGGCGAACCCTGTGATGCCTTAAGGTTTAATCGAAAAACCATATCGCGTTTATACAGGCGATGTCGGAGTCACCGAGTTGTATTAAACCCGGGGTTCTTGAATGTAGAGAAAACCCCGGGAACATAACAGATGCATGAGGATTTGTTGAACTGCGTCAGAAACTATAATTGGAGTCGAATCGAATAGGATCCGGGCAATAATACAGGCGCGCAATGTACGTGCTACTCTAATATTCCCGATGTGGGTGAAAAGCTAATTACATTTACAGAATTACTTTTGCATCTGATAGCCTATAATGTGTTCTAGATAGGCTCTTAACAGGTGAGTCCTCATTATCAGTTCGTGCTTTGGAGTGTCTTAAGGTTAATAACCCGAAACTACCCAATTACCCAGTACTACCCAAAACCAAAGGAGATTGCTCTATAACACGGGGCGTGCTACTGAAATCTTACACTGTCAAACTGTAGCACTGTGTGTATATATATACACCTTAAGCCTGCACAAAACGTCTTTAAAAAAACCTAGAGGGCAGCATGTCCATTTCTGGAAGCTGCCGTCAATCGAGTCGTGTTGTATGGAATTTCGAAGAACGTTTCACGTTCACGTTCTGCGCTGTATTTTTAAATTCAGAGATCTTGAGGCCGGGCCTTTTGCCCAGAAAACACCCCTTGTCTTGACGCTGCTTCCAGGAAGAAACCCACTCGTATAAACCCTGTGGAAAAACTAAAGGCGAAGTAATAAAAAGTAAAAGTCATAAATGATTGAATGTGAAAAGAGGGTACATTTTTTTGCTTGAGCTGCGGTGCTCCTTAAGCGATTTTGTTTCCGTTGTATGTATATTTTCCTCCTGTGAGGCCATATTATCTGAAAGCAGAGCGGACTGGTTGGCATTGTGTGCGACTATAGAAGAGCGCTACTCGAAAAACACGCCCGAATTTATTAAGGAGAGGATCTTTTCCAATTTCTCTTTGCCCTTCTGATCTGGGACACTAGCAAACAAACTAGCTAGTCATTTGTCCCTTGACTAGCAAACAGTATGGTTAGCTTTTCGAGGGACACATGTTGATTGAAAAGCTAACCATACTCCAGCCTGCCGTCTGTAAGAGGAGCTGAGTACAATCATGAGCGCTTCCATATTAATTTCTTGACACTGCCGCGTTATTCTGATTAAACTATCATCAGCACAAAGCCGGCCCAGTGTCCACCGTCAGTACCGTCAGTTCCACGCCGATGTGCCCATTGAAGAAAACTGGTAAGATGTCGAGCGCAGGTGTAATATTTTAATAAACTAGAAAGTTATCCGGAGGAATGACTCAAATATTGTAAGTAACCCCCTCACACCCACACATAACCTGAATAGTACAGGATACAAATGAATGAATGAAAATGAAGGTTTTATGCTATGCACAACGTTTGAATAAATAATTATAAGAAAATGATATTCTCGGACTAAAGTCCTTCTTCATCTGTTTCCAAACAAATGTAACCACAATATTGTAAATGTTGTTGTTGAAAACGTGTCCAGTACAGGGGTGTTTGTAGTTTTTCATGGTCTCTGGAGAGCTACGGTACCTGAAGAAGTAGTTTAATTCACCCGGTTAACCCGCAACCAGCCTAAGACCTCAGTTGCAATGAAAACTCGCAGACACAGTGGTTCAGCTGGACCTGAGCTGAGACGCACGGCGTGGGCAAGTTCAGGGTCGCTCCTTCAGAAAAATGCTTCTTCTACGCGTGCTTTCTGAGGCTAATATTCAGGCTCAGTTTTGCTCAGTCATTTCGTTCGGAAAACTCCTGTAATTAAGGAATATGTTAAGATGGGGGGGGGCAGAAGTCCGGTTTTTACAAATCCCTGACGCTCAGCAGGGGTCAAATTCGGCCATTGTTTAGTCCTACACTTTTGACCTCGACGGTGGCTCAGGCTGTTTAATAGAAAAAGACCCCTCGGAGCTTTTCTTATGAAGGAAGGAAGCTGACTCACTGGGCGCTGTGTACACTGCATTCCTTATAAGGGCTGACCATTGCGTCACTTCCTTCATCAAAGACCTAGAAGCCTATCCCAGGTAGGACCGGTTACAGCGTCACACCTTAAGTTAGGGGTGTTTGTGGCACTAACAGGGGGTGCGGCTGACGTGGGTGGGGCGCGTGTTTGAAGTGTAGTCCGAGGAGAGGGGGGTGTTTTGGGCCGCTCTAAACAGATGTCTCCTGTACACCTGAACGCGAAACGTGTCCTGGCACGCTCGGGGAAAAAAAAACTGCTGACTCGCCCCTCTGCAGTCACCTGGGGTTGGGAAAATTGACACAGAGAATTCTTTATCCTTGTTTGGCAGCGAGAATTGCAGTCCCACGCCCGTCTACTCAGGCGCTTGTTACCAGACTGTTGTGCAAAGAGCCTTCGAGGGAGAGATAAGGAGAGACGTGCGTCGCAGATCGTAACTGGAAATTATGACACCAGTAACAAATGGGCAGTTTTTATGTCGAGGGCACTGAAAAGATTGCACTTTGTCTGGACGAAGATAGGGCAAAATCAATACTACAAACATTGCAGCAATTCCCATTCCTTGGCAGCTCAAGTAAAGAGCATGAACAGTAAATGCATTATAAATCGTACCTAAAGTGATGATGATATAGTTCACTTTTAACTATTACACTCTATACTGAGTGTAAAGAGGAACAGCACAATCTCTTGGATAGGGAACAAATAGCGTTTTTCTAGTCCGACTTGTTTCTATTTGATACTTTTTTGGAGCCTAAAGCTTTCCAGCTGCGCATTTGCAGCCGCCTTTGAGCGAGGTTACAACCTTATTTTGCACATTTAGAAACTTTGTTTCAATATTAGACAAGTGCGCAAAAAGTAACCGAGCGCCCTGTTGAGAGGCGCTTCATCCGATCAGGAATATTACCGGTCCTTCGGTTGTGAGGTGTGGCCTGTCTGCGTGTTTGTGTTCCTCTTGGGTGACGCCTCCTTATCTTCGGGTCCCGGGCCAAGTGTCGGCCAGGCCCGCCCAGGCGCAGTGTCAGGAGTCAGGGAAGCTAACAGCTGGAACGCGGGCCAAGGCGAGCCCCGCGACACCTGTTTGACGCCGAAAGAAAGGCGCTACTGTCTCCTTCGCATGCTAATGCGAGCTGAGTCACCTGCACCTGCGTACTGGTACCCAGAATGAAATCTGAAGAAGGGGGCAGCAGTTTCCTTCGCTGTCCTCCCTGTACTTTAACTAACAACCACCAGCGTTAGCAGTCATCTTTGCACTGCTGTTGTTATACCCCGATTAACACTACCACCGCTAAGACAACTACTGTGACTACCTTAGCCCTGGTAACTATGACTCTAAGAGTGTGCATTTCTAATGCTAATCCTAATGTTGATGTTTTCTGCTGTTACTACTGCTACAACAGCCACCACTACTAATTGTAAAGGTAATACTGTTAGACCTGACTGCCGCTACTGCTAACATTGCTATTACGACTATTACTACGATTAAGACCACCCGTTAAGAATATTCCCAGCTCTAGGACTATTCCTGTCACCACCTCTTCTGGGCTTTCTTGGCCATTCATTAACAGAATCCATGTAATATATAATTGTTGGCCCAGATGAATTCTTCAGCTCCATGAGGTAAACCAAGTGGACTAGGTGGGCTGAATGAGCACATAAAGGATTTTTTTTTTAATGGCAAAGACAGGTATAACAATTTTAACTGTCACGGAGGATATCCATAAATCAAACATGACTTTCTAGCGAAGTTCTTTGTCATCAAATATATGACCTCCTGATGACTTAGGCAATAGACATGTCAGACTGGAGAGCAGGTCACTGCCCAGTTACCTTGAAACGCCTTCTTGAACTGCTGCTATTGCTCAGTGTAATTAAAATGGAAGCTACCATAGGCTGAGCTTTAACAGCTGCTCTCTTGTTAACTATTAATGCCATCCATCCAGTTTCTAACTGCTTTATGCAGTGCAGGGTTACAGAGAAGCTTGAGTCTATCCTGACAAGCAACAGGTGCAAGGCGGGATACACCTTGGACAGGATACCAGTCCATCACAAGGCAGACAGACACAAACACACACGTACACACACACTCACACCGGGGCCAAGTTTCCCAGAAGCCCATTAACCTACCAGTGTGTCTTTGGCCTGCGGGAGTTAACCGGAGTACTCAGAGGAAGCCCACGCGAACCCGAGGAGAACATGTAAACTCCACACAGACCGCACCCGAGGTCTGGAATTAAACCCGGGACCACAGCCTCAATGCTAACAACTGTGCCACCGTGTTGCCCTATAAACACTGCTTCTTCTGCTGTTCGGGGATATTTAGCATTTCTCTCATCTCGTCTTTTCCAGTTCCTCTGCTGACAGGGTTAGCCATATACTGTACAGTAAACAAACAGGTAACTAAGTGACACGGTCAGAAGTTCTGGTTTGACACAGAGCTTGTTGCTTTGAAAACGCAGCCATTGGTGGCTCACAGATGTTATGAATCACCCCAACCTCCCACCACCACTTCTTAGCACTGATCAGAATTGTGATTCACCCCTAGGCCGGGTCTAGCCCTGGCCAAGTCATTAGGAATACCCAGGTTTTTTTTTGTAAGGCTGTTGCTTATTCGTGAAGTCCCTCATTCGGACTTCTGGCTGAATCTCAAGATTCGGGCTGCTAACATTTTGTGTTCCTGGCAGTTGAAGTGACTGCTACGCTGTGGCCAGGGCTGCTTGTAAAGTAACATAAAGCAGTGTGGTGAACCTAGCGGGTGTTTTTCAAAGCCCTGTCACTCTTCCTCTTTTTCGTCAGAAGAGTCATCAAAACCCCGTATGGCCTTTTCACCCTTGTGGAAACAGACCCTCCTTCACCGCTCTGGTGCCTGGAGGTGAATGTTCACCAGTTTCTTCCATTTTCCCATGCAGGTCGAAGAGTGCTGCACTGCTCTCTGTCCAAGGGGGGTTGACAGTGATGAGGCTGCAGGGCGTGTCCGTGCACAAAAGCACGTTCCGTGCTTTACGTGTGAGCGTGCAGAAGCAGAAGGCCGTGCAGATGAAAATCCCCCACCGTGTGATTCGAGCTGTGGAGGAGGAGGGTGGGGCAGCAGTCTAGAGTCGGTGAGACCTCCCTGGGCTGTGCTTCCTGCGATTGCTGTACCTAATATGCTTTTTCTATTCAGGAAACGGATAATATAATAATTTAATAATATTAATTCCTTCCACTTATATAGCACTCAAAGTGCTTTACAGGTAATGGGAACTCCCCTCCACCACCAACACCACTGTGGTGCAGCCAGTCTGCTCACCACACACCAGCTATCAGTGGGGAGGAGTGATGAAGCCAGTTCATAGATGGGGATTATTAGGAGGCCATGATTGGTAAAGGCCAGAGGGAAATTTGGCCAGGACGCTGGGGTAACACACGTACTCTCTTCAAGAAACAACCTGGAATTAGAGAGTCAGGACCTCAGGTTAATTATCTCATCCAAGGGACAGTGCCATTTCTACAGTAAAGTGTCCCCATCACTATACTGGGGCATTAGGACCCACACAGACTGCAGGGTGAGCATCCCCTGCTGCCCCACTAACACCTCTTCCAGCATCAATCCAGGTACTGCCCAGGTCACACCTGCTTAGCTTCAGTGGGTTGCCAGTTGTGAGTTTCAGATGATATTGCAGCTGGCTAATGGAGCTGTCCTGTCTGATCAATGAGTTACCCCCCCATCTGTAACCTTCCGTCAAGTAGGTACAGAAGTGTGGGGTATCTGCAGTAAACAATTAAATAAAACAGCATGTGTATTTGGAGACCACCCACATTCTAGCACAGATACTCTTTAGCCTCACCTCTGCCTTGATAGAGCCATGCAGGTGTCTCTTAGTTCTGCCAGTGTCTCTGTTACTGTAAGTTGGCAGCCAGGGGTAGGATTCAGGGATTCAGATATGCGGAACATGATCCCAGCCAAGGGATATGGAATACAGAATCTGAGCCCCTATGGTGACATAACACCGAGTTTCCTGGAGTGCTGTAATCTGAGGAGGGTGATTCAGACCGCTGCTGACTTGCAGGTGTATGGAGGCCCCGATGCCTGTCCAGGAGTTAGGAACTGGGACTGTCCACCTGCTGTAGCCCGGGGGAATTAAGGTGAATGGAGACTCAGTCCTTGACAGAATTTAGAAATAGGTAATTATGTAATTTCAAAATTTAAATTCTCACAAGGGGAGAACCAAATAGGGCAAGCCAAATTAAATTATGCTGATTCCTTATGCGCATCTCAGGAGACTTTAAAAAAAATCATTATTTTTAATTTTAAAATTATTTTCATTGTTAATCTTCTCCTGGGCAGCGCATTGCGGATTTCGTGTTTCGGTCAAAGGAGATCTGGCAGAGCAGGGACGAGGGACGCAGCAGGACTGTACTGGTGCTGGTCAACCGAATCAGAACCCACAACGCCCGCAGACCAGCCTGACACATCGTGTGCAAAATGATCGGACGCACGAATTGCAGTGCGAGAACGAAGGTGTTAAATCTGGACTTTTAAAAGTGTGGCTGTGCTGCGATGACGTCACACGTGTTGGTTATAAGCGGAATCGTAAAAATAAGAGTTTACTGGTACGGTTCAGCCGCCATTGGTTGTAAACGAGGGGAATTGCTGTAAATGACCACTTGGCATCGAAATAAGCTGTAACCGGAAAGCACGTAAAATATCTGGCCACCCTACAGAGGCCTCCAGCGCTGATGCCGGCTGCTACTACTGCCGTTTTGATTGTCTGCTACGTTTGCATCTTTTCTTCAGCGAGGACAGCCGCTGTGCTTTCTCCGCAGCCCGGATATTTCCAGGAGCACGCTGACAAGCATCCTGCGACGGGAATCGGTTTAACTCGCACGGCCCCCGTGAGACACACGCATCGCCCCCCCCCCCTCTTTCGACTCTCTTGGGTACAGTCTGAACCGTCACAGCGAGGAAGAAGCCGAAAAATTACTTTTTAGCACAGCCTATGTAGTTTTATGCATTCATTCCCCACTGTTTTTTTTTTTACTGTATTTCGCTATGGTGATTCACGAAGAAACAAGGTAACAGGTACAACGGCGCAGAGCCCTGCATCATTTTTGTACCAAGCACAGGGCGTCACGCTGTTATCTATTGATTGACTTACGTAATGATAACCTTCCCTGGCGTGCGTGTTAAATTTGCATTAATTTGTACTTGTCACCGGCACTTTATTATAGCCTGGGTGACTGCTTTTTGTATGAACTACTGCGGCCTTGTAAACGATTCGCCAGAATTGCATTGAACTTGCATTCAATATAAGTATAGACTTAATTTCACCGTTAACTAACTATACAGTTGGGAGTACAATCATTTTCGCCTTAAACACTTTTTTCATAGATAATAAATGGCGGCGCACTTAGCACTGAATGAGCGAAGGGACAGTTTTAACCTTACTGTGCTATCCTAACAGTTGTGTACAATAATCTCACCGGAAGTAGTACATTGGTTTAGCTCAAATTAAATTGAGCCCTCTTCTTGAGGGTTAGGGGACTCGTTCTTAGACGTGTAACTATGAAATCAGTTTGTTTAATTGACCATTCAGGCTTAAACAATTGTGCCAGACCCACCCAGAGGAACTTTGTGTGAGAGCCCCGATTTATGGAGAGCTGCTAGACCAGCCTGCTAGACGAGGGACGTGCCCTCGAAGACGGGATTTGGGGACTTCTGGCCCTGAAGGGCGCCAGGAAGACTTTATTTACTCGTGCTCATTCCTTCGCTTGCTCCTGTTGTAATAAGTGGTCCAACGGCGTCGTCATTCTCATTTGCGACCTTTTCTTTTTCTGCCTGCGGGAAACGCGCGGGCCTCTACCGTTGTCCTGGCATGCAAACGGCTTCTTTTTGTTTCTCAGAAAAGATTTGAATTTCTGGCACGGGCGAAGCTCGAGGAGCGGCGGGTAATCTGCAGTCTCGCCAGTTCTAACTAACCTCCGAGAGCACCGGCTTCGAGTTTGTCTGGGAAGCTGAAGCCCTCGGGGGGCCCTGTCATTTACGGTAAGAGAAAAGGGGGGACTTGGAAGCAGGGGGGCGTGCGACAAGGCGGGCGAAAAAACAGGGAGAGAACCGGAGGGAGGCAGGGAGGGAGTTAAAACGTGACTGCAGGAAAGGAAGAGGCGGTGGAAGTCGAGGCTGAGCGCGAGAGGCGGGCTGGGAGAGAGAGGAGGGAGCGGGCGAGCGCGGCGTGTGTGTGGGCGATCGTGGAAAACAGGATGCGCTCTCACATTCACGGATCAGGGCGATTGTCCCGTGGCGACACGTTTCCGGGCAGCCCTTTTCAGCTCGCCCAGACTGTACTTGAGGAAATATTAATTTGACTTATGATCCCTGTGAGAGTGTAGCTTTTGTCATAAATAACCCTGCGGTGGCAGCAGTTGTGGGGAAAAAGAAAGAGAACTTGAACCCCGTACGGTAAATTGATAACGCATAGACAACAGCAGCTTTCCTGTAATTTCATCATCCGTATCCACAAGGCTCCGATAGGTACCGAAGGTATGCTACGTGTCTGACGGGTAACTTAATCTTGAGACCCCAAATCAGTTTATACCGTTGGTCATTTTGCTTTCATCTAAACCTTACCAGCCGCCTTCTTTTTTTACTTTGTACTAGAGCGGCTGGTTTTTCACACACCTTTCCATCGGACAGTCACAGTGACACGGACTAATCGGCCTATAATAAAGATGCCCTTGTCGATATCACTGCCTCATCCGTAATACAGAAAGCCGCCCACGTCTGCAGAGAATCGCAGCACCCCGGAAACACACGGCACTAGGCGGGGCCAGACGTGGGCTTCACCCTAGTCCGTAGCAGGACGCGTTGACACACGCAGAGACAATTTAGGGTCCCAATTTAACCAAACCAGCATTACCTTGGAAGGATAATTTATTTAGTCTCCGTTTTCAAATTGGGAAGCAGATATCTTTTAAATAAGGCCTTTTTCTGTCCCTTTCTGAATGGAAGTTTAGAATGGGTTAGCATTTTCTGTGATTTTGTTTCCCACAAATACTGTAACTCTGTATTTTAGCTGACTTTTTGTGTGGTTTGCTGTGGTTTTAGCACCTTCACTGTGGTGTACACTACCGTAGACAGATCTCGGGCTCGTCAAAGCGCATGATTGCAAACAGTCCTTTGAAATGATGCGGTGGCTCGTATGGCCAAGGCCCTGTTCAATAAAGCACTGTAATAATAATTGCATTTCTGTAGCTCTTTTCATCCCATAGCACCCCCCTTCTTCCAACACTGAGAAGGGGGGGGACCCACTTCTTCCAACACTGAAGTGCACAGTGGCTGTCCTGCATCAACAGCCCCACTGTACAATACTCTATGGAGGAATGAGAAATTGCTTGAGTTCCCGCACTGCATGAATGCAAGAATAATGTGTGAAACTATGTAGTAGGGGAAACGGGGATCTCCAAATCCCTTCTGCCTTGTGGATGACTGTGCTGCACTTGCACATGTCCCAAATTGTTAGCTTTGCTGACCTGTTGTGGTCAATATTAGAGACTTCCTGGTCATGGGCCCAGCTTGTCCACTGACTCACTCTTTGTCACTGAGAGTCCATGTGCTTCATCCTGTTTGGGGAGGACAGCTGAAGTACTCATGCAGCACTGCTGAGCATGCTCCTCTCTGCTTGACAGCTTTTTCCAGATTGTGATATTATCTTATTATCTTTACCATTTTAAAAACAGAGGTGCAAGGTGACACATACTGACCCCTAAATGCAGTCGATGCGTGTCTGTGAAATAAGATCAGAAACTCCTAAGGGAGATAGTAAATTTCAGGCAGCATGGTGGAGCAGTGGCGAGTATTGCTGTCTCACAGCACTGGGGCCCTGGGTTCGATTCCTGGGGTGCTGTCTGTGTGGAGCTTGTATGTGCTCTCCATGTTGGCATGGATCCCCCCACTTTCCTCACACAGTTCAAAGCCACACTGGTAGGTTAATTGGCTACTGGGAAAACTGGCCCTGGTGTGAGGGTGTGTCCTGTGATAGACTGGAGTCCAGGGGGTGCCCTGCCGTGCACCCCTGCCGTGCACCCGTGGCGTGCTGAGATAGGCTCCGGCTACCCTCGCAACCCTCAAGTATCTAAAACGATTAGAAAATCGATAGCGAAATGTTAGCTTGACGGAGGTATGAGGCTTGGAGAGCTGTTGCTGGACTTTTACTGGAGAAGCATCCAAGATGGTACTCCAACTTGAAACGCAGGGCGTATTGGTGTGACAGACGGGTGTTCACCTGCAGCGAAGAGAAAGCAAATTAGCGCCGAGTATCGAAAGCACAGGGCGGGGCGCGCCCGGCGGAGGAGACCCGGCCGAAACTTTCTCTCGTCACACAGCTCTAGACTGAATTCCCCTCTCCCAGCCGTGCGGAAAGGGTCTCTCCCCGATTCCACAACTCGAACGATATTAATCACGACCAGTTAAAAGAAGACAGTTGTATCCAGTTACGTCTGGTTGCCAATATGAATAAGCTGCCGTTTGTGTTTTAATTTATTGTGTCTAGTCATTTTTTTATGTTCTTCTACGACTGCCAGCACAAGACAGTTACCGAGTCATTGCGAAAGTATGATAGAGCACTTTTTTTTTTCAAGGGAAAAAAAACGTACCGTTCTTCCGGCTTTCAAAAACAAAGTGCCGTAAGAGCATTGAACACCCGAGAATCGAAGACGACAGACAGGAAAATATGCTTTCTCCACCTCTCTCTCTCTCTTTCTCGGGTGATTTTTTTTTAATTTCTTGGCGGTTTGGCCTAGTCAGTGGAGTGCTAACGACAGCTACACCCTCTGCAGCCAGCTTTTTTGATCGCTGACACGTTTTTTAACGCGCATCATTGGCGAACACCGGGCCCCTAAGTTCTAGCCAAACGGCCTTTCCTGTTCTCGGCAGCCACGGATTTCCATGTTAAGACGCGAAGGGGACTTCACGTTCAACCGCCTTTTAGAGAAGCAAAAGTCACAGGTTAAGCCAGGACTCGAGTCCCTCACCTATTGCTGTTTCCACACCGCTTGCTGATTTTGCACAGAACGGGTCTCCCAACCTCAAACCCTCCTAGTTTGTCTTCCAGTCACAGGGTGATTAATTAAACGATTAATTAACGAATTGATTCATTCATAATCCCTTAAAGAGGCGAATTGGTTTTTCTATTTTGGATCCGAGGGAAAGTTTGAAATTTGGTTTTGAAAAAGAAACGTGGCGGTGTTTCTAATTGGCCTCAACTCCGTACCAGTTTCTGGGTTTCAGAACTCTCCCCGTTCAGGGGTGAGCTGAGACATAACCTCGGGCGGAAACGAGGAAGCAAGGTCTTAATAAGCACACCGATGGGGGAAGTTGGAGAGGGCCTGAGCACAGAAACAGGTTGGGGGAAAAAAAAGTCCATAAATAAGCAAGAGGTTGAATTGAAGGCACAGGTTCGCACCGGTGATTAAGAGCTCGGTTGGAATGAAAACAGGGAGTCCCAAATGCCCCCCCTCCAAACAAGGAACAGGATTAGGATCGAGGTATCTCCAGGCTATAGAAATTCCCTGCTGAGCCCCAGGATTCATGCAGCCTTGTCTGTCACAGGCAGAAACACTTTTCGGGGTGTCAGTGAAGAAGCGGCGAGGAAGACCACTTGGGTCAATCAGACTAGATGGACCGTGAAGTACAGAACCAAGCGAAATCAAAAGGGTGGTGTAAAACGACACATAATCCAAGCCGAGGAAATGCCTGGTTCTGCTGCAGCATTTTGGTCCCGGACCTGAGCTATGCATCTCGGAGAGTGCGTCTGTAACACCTGCCTTCTTCATAGATCGCTCTGTGCGCCTCCCTTTTTTCTGTGTTAGTTGTTTTTCTAATTAATTTCACACAGCACCTTCACGTACTCACACCAAACGGGGGGAAGAGGGCTTCTGTAAAAATGTTGGCGGCTTTGAACAACTATGCGGCGGGTGTCTGCAAGCCCTGTTAATAGGCTGGCGCTGTGTAAGGGGCTACAGTGCGCTCGCCCGGGCTCAGATCTGTGCGGGAAGTGCCTGAGACGACCCGGGGAACGTCGCACGCTTCACAAAACCGGAGAAAGGATACAAATACGTGATTTCCTGGAAGCACATGGATTTAAAAAAAAAACATGCGATACGCCCCACTTGGCGGAAGCCTTTTTTAAAAATCGGTGATGCCAAGCAGACGCAGAAGGCTTTCTGTGTTAAATATTTCCTGCTGTGCTTGTTGACTTGGGAGGAGAGGGTTAGGGTTAAACGTCTGTCCAGGGGGTCCCCAGGAATGGATGACTTCCTCTCCCCGTGTCTGATGGGTCATGAAATCAGCACGCCCACCCTGTGGACCTGGCCTGACAGCACGGGGAGGTTTTTAGTTATGCTCAAACTTCAGTTTTACATTTAATTCGGGGATCCTAGGTGTCTTGAAAAGGGGTCCCAAGAAAAGGGAATCCTGTCGGTAGAGCCTCGTGGGAAAACCTGTTCCTTGAAACAAATCCTCTTCTTTTTTTGTTTTTGAAGCTGCAAATGGAAACACTTTGCTTGTGTTCTGTGAGCCCAGGTTTCGAGATATGTAAAATGTTCCAAAACCAAGACAACAACAATCAGCTTAGGGCCACACAACACCCCCCCAGAAAAAACCCACACGCGCATGTGCAGAATCTTTCCCTGGGGGGCATCGCTGATGAATACCTAAAATAAACTTTAGGTTTAGGACCCCTAAAATTAACTTGGCTGGCTCTGACAGGAAGTGCTGGGCATTCGTGAGCTGACCAAGTGGGAACCTCACTCCCCAGTGACCAGCACCATGGCTCCGAGCTCCTATTGACAATGTAAAGTCAGTGCCAGGGAAGGGAGTTCCCAAGCTCCAGGCACCCACCACGATGCCAGCATCTTTTTAGCTGCAGTGAGAAAAGCCAATCAGATCCCTTTCTGCTGTTGCAGGGGAGCTCAGATCAGAGTTTTGAGGACTTAGCATGATCCCTGGGAGGAGATTAAAGAGTATCCATTCAGGGTCTCAGGTGAGCTGGAGTCTATCCCAGCAAGCATTGGGCACAAGGCAAGATATACCCTGGATGGGACGCCAGTCCATCACAGGCAAGGAATATGCTTGTTTTGCAAAGAGGACAAAGAAGAGGAGAACAATAGCTTTGTTTTTGATCCAATATAGGGGAGGGGGGCTTGACATTTATCCCACAGCACGGCAGCCCACAGTTCTGAAAGCCCTGCTGCTCGACAGCACTTGTTGTCCTCCAGCTTGGCCTTCTGTCAGAGAGCTACAAGCGGGCAGCACTGGTGACTCATCCTAGTCCACGGCTCCATGCTAATTAGAGGTCAGCCTTCCAAACAAATTTGGTGACCTTCAGTCGGCCCCCAAACTCGGTCTGGTCAGGGCTGAGCCCTGTTAACCAAACTTCAAAGACCCCCCATCCCAGCATGGGCTACTCTGATGAGGTCATCAGCCATTCAGTGGGACTGGGGCCTATTTAAGGGCCTGTTTTTGTCGTGGTCTCAAAAGGTCTGATCTTATAGGACACAGGGAGTTTTTTTTGTGGTCGGGACTGAGGCAGAAAAGAAACAAGAGCATGTAGGAGTCATCCTCACATGACTTTGAGTGTATTTTGACCTTCTAATTCTGCTTGACAGTAATCACATTGTGCCTGTGTTCGAGAAACACTGGTCAATTAGGTGTATTCTTGTATATGTATATCACAAGGAGGACATCATATACAGTCATAATATATTAGCAGGGAACAGATGATCACATCTATCAGGATCAGACTTGAAATGACTGCTCCAGATGTTGAATTGCAGTCAGATGCCAGAATCTTCTTTTTTCCCGTCTTGCAGTTTCTACGCACACCCATGATCAAGCCTGTATCACCTTAGTCATGCAGATGACCTAATCAGAAAAGGAGAAATTAAGAACAGGAAATGAACAGGAAATGTTGTGGAATCATCACGCTGGGATCTTTTTCATTTTGATCCAACTAATCCAGAAGCCCGCTTCTTGAGAGTTGAATGAAAGCGTGGATGCCATCAACACCAGTCGTCACAGCTCCGCAGTAGATGTGAATGGTGCTTCAGTGATTCCCTGGTACTTCTTGGCGACTTTTGTTACTTTTAATTTTTCTGAACCCGTCAGCCAATGCCTGCTTACCATTGTGGCTCCCTGATCTAACACAACAGCCAGGTCCATTTCCGCCCTCAGCAATCAGAAGCACAAACTCCTAGCCCACCGGGAAGAAGGTCAGGTTTGCTACTACTTGTCTTTCCCTGTAAAGTGCCCCAGTGTGTTTTAGTGGACAGAGCAATTCCATGATACACAGCATTCTCTAATATTTTGGTAGGGCTGTGTGTTATGACTAAGACCGTAGAGGGCAAAGAAACAAGACCTGTTTTCTGGTCATGTCTGTTTCACCGTGCCACCTGCCCCGGGCCTGTCCTGCTCTAGTTCTTACTGTCCAGTTCCAATGTCTCTTTTTCTGAGAACCTTACAGACCGGACCTGTCTGAGTCAGGACTGGTTTCAAGAACAGATCAGCCAGAAATAAAAAAAAGGGTTAAACTTTAAACTCGCCACCCTCCTACCCGAAATTGCGCACTGTGTTACTGGTATTACTGCCGTTACCGTCCTGGGCAGGCAGATCCCAGACTTGTTTTTAAAAAGGCAGATTGTGGTTGTCTGACAAAGAGAACAGAAAAGTCTCACTGTGGTACAAAGGCTTTAAGTTGATTGCAGAACTGTGGGCAAGATCACAGGTTAAGACAGTGCAGGTATTGTGTGTTTAATGGATGGAAATGGAGAAAAATATCGGATTTGCATCGTGGGGGTGAAAAGATATGGGTGTCATGGAGGTGCAGTGGTCCGCGTTGCTGCTTTCCAGCACTGTGGCTCTGGGTTCAATTCCCCAGGTGTTATCTGTGTGGAGTTTGCATGTTCTCCCCTTGTTTGCATGGGTTTCCTCCAAGTGCTGTCCAGAGACATACTGGTAGGGTCAGTCCTGGTGTGAGTGTGTGTATCTATGTTTGTGTCTGTCTGCCCTGTGATGGGCAGGTGTCCTGTCCAGGGTGTGTACCCCACCTAGCCACGCATTGCCTGCTGGGATAGGCTCTGGCTCCCCTGCTATCTTGAATCCGATGGAGCGGTTAGAAAATGGGTGGTTGGAAAAGAAACATTCAGTTCAATTTCTTCTCGCTCTGCCTTCGATGTTAATCAGTGAGCAAAGCAAGTGTGAAATACGGGGCACTCGCAGCTATAGCGAGTTACAGTGCATTGTCACAGCTCGATAAAAAAACCCAAAAAGATATATAATGTCTTCCGCCTGTCCAGATGTTGTGTTTCTGCAGCTTCTTCTGTCCCTCACCTAGATTATTGCAGTGAAGAACCCTAACCAGGAGAAGTTCCCCGGAAACATCAGTTTCGTCTCCCTACATTGCTGTACTGTATGTCACACACAGTGCAGCCTCTGGCGTGGGGTTCAGCGAGTCCTCTTTGGCGAAGCAGTCAGCGGTGGCCGGGACTCATGGGGGAGAATCCAGGAATTCATGTTTTTCTGTGCCCTGCTTGTCTGGAAGCCGGCTGCAGCCCCAGCCGCCGGCTGGAGCAGTGAGTCAGGTAGCTGAGCTGCATGTCCTGAGGATCTCTCCCTAACGAACCAGGAAGCGCAGGCTGGTTACCGCGGGTCGCCCAGCGAGCGCCCGCGGGTGCGTCCTGGCTTCATTATTCCGCGGCCCGCGGGAGTCGCCGACTGTAATCGCTTTAATGAAGGTGTTCCTAATTAGGTTCCGTGTGGCCGGGGGTTAATTGTCAGTAGCCCAGTGGCGGACGGAGACCTTTCCGGAAAGGCACACGTAGCCTGGAAACAAGCATCGCGGGGCCGCGGGGGAGCGTTTCTCCAGATCGCCGGTCCGACCGGCAGGCTTGTTAAGGGCCGCCACAGGGCAAGTACGAGAGTCCCGGTCGAGATGGCTGTAATTCTTCATCCTCAGCGGCTCGTCTGCCAGCTCTTCTGTTAAAGACTTCTTGAGTTGGCAGTCGATCTGTGTATAAGGAAAGACGTTCCACATTTCTGTCCCTTACTATGTAGTGCCATATATGCTGATATGCTTTACCACATTATTTATATATATGATGTATACAAGCACATAAAAAAGACATCCAGCCATGGCTTGGTAGCTTGTGTCAGACTCCCACAACTCTTTGTGTAAAGCCTTTTCTCCTGTTCTCTAAGTGCCCTTAGTGCAAAACATCAACTGTGAAAGAGTCATGGTGCTTTTTGATGCTTTTGGAACGGAAGCCTTTGGGAATTCTGTTCCAGGCCTCTCCCTGGACTGAAAATAGCCCCAGCGGTGTCAATTAAACTTACCTCCGACTCCTCGTGCATGTGGATGTCCTGATGCTCTGTGTGGTTTTGTTCCTTTGTGCACACGCATTAAAGAACATTGTTTTAAAAGGTTTAACAAAAATGGTCAGAACAGGAAAGCAAATTGAGCTCACTGACCATACAAAGCCTTTTTTTCCCTGTACTGTATATGCTGTGCCCTTGCCTCCTTTAAAGCTTTAGAAGCTAAAACATCGCTTTTTTATGTATGCTTCTTAAGTACAGTGTAACCCAGGTTGCTTAAATTAAATGACCTTGGTATATACGCAACTGTTAAATAAAAAGCGGTTACAAATTTACACGCCTGACAAACTGAATTTCACTGAGCCGTTTTTCCTGTCGCTGAGTGAGTTGCCGGAATTTGTAACTCTATGCTCTAAACCCTTGTTACTGCTTCTGTCTCCTGTATGTCCTAGCTGGAGCCATGAGGTCGACAGAGAGGCACTCATGGAAGGTCACAGGTCACCTGGCAGGAAGTGATGTCACAGAGGATAAAGGCTGGCAATTCCAGGGAAACACATTTTCCTAAAACACATTTACTCACATTTTTAGGCTGGTGAGTAACCAACCTCTGATTCACTCACACACACACGTGGAAACCCAAACTGCAGGGCAAATGCGCACACACACACAAGTAGAGACGATGCCCAGACGTGATTGAGACTGGTCTGTGCGAAACAAGGTGATCAATCTCAGATCTTTTTGAGCAGGGTTCTTTGGCCAAATTGTAGAAGCAAAATTTGGAGAAAAGAAAGAATCCAATCCATTAATGGAAGATCACAGGGTTCTTTTTACACAGGCTGGTCATACGATGCTTTGTGAGTATATTTGTTTAAGTTACGCAGTTGATGGTGCGATCGCCCACTTCATAAAGCAGTGCGAGTTTGCTTCAGCCGTCTTCATTGTTTATGTAAAAAGTAACGCAACCCTTTCTTTTTTTCCAGGGCTAGCTGACAAAGCACAGACACCCCTTGCTTAGAAGCTGCAGAAAAGGCAACTCCATGATGGGAAAAACAGAGGCAGGGGAGGGGTTCTAACAGAATCCAGTGCAGGAGCAAGAAGAATCGTTTAGTTTGATCTCAGAAAATTTCATCACACCTCCCAGCAGTTTGAATTTTTAAAAATGGCTTTCAGAAGCACCATTCCCCACGAATGCACACAAGCCCCAAAGGAGAGAGAAAGATCTTTATTTTTTTTCAGCTTGCCAGCCACTGTAGGTCATGCACAGGTCACTGGCCAGCACAGACTGCAGCCTGTGTGGATCTTGTGCAAGAAGGAGCAGCGAGGTCGCCCAGAGGGCGGAGAGGTGTGGTGCTGGGGAGGGTGCTTCGCAGCTGGGGGGGCAGGAGGGAGGGGTCATGGGGCAGTAGTGGGAGAGTTCTTGTGGATTCATTGCCTATCCAGACCTCTCTGACCTTCAGAGCACCCTGCCTGGAGTGGAAGGAGGTGGGAGGTTTTACAGAAGGGCTGAATATGGCTGCCATCTCTCGGGGGGGTTAGGGGGGTAACTCAGGATGGCCACAAGGCAGGCCAAATTTCTCTGCAGGCTCCTGGCTCCTTAAAAAAAACAAGAGTTATCAAGCTATGAATGATCAGGGAGCAAGTTTTATTTGACATGGAGGTTACTGAGTGCTGGTGGCCTTAGCTGAGCTTCATGTATTATGTGTCTGCCTCTCTTTAGTTTTTCACTTCTGCTGGGGGTGATTTCTGAAGGCTGTGTGTAGGTGACAAGTAGAGTAACAATCAAGGAGGCCTATTGGATGGTTAATTAGCTAATTGGATCAGGGGATCTATTCCAGCCATTTCTAGAAGGAATCCAGGGTATCGGCTTCAACAACATAGCTCAGTCAGCTGTTCCACACCCCCACCACCCTTTGTGTAAAGAAGTACCTCTGACACTCAGTTTAAGATGCACTTCCCTGTAGTTTCCACTGCTGCCCTCAGGTTTGTGTTGCACTACTGATTCTGAAGAAATCCATCAGGATTTTTCAGTGCCCTGTCAGATTTTGAATTTGGAGGATGAAGAAACAGCATACAAGCACATACAGGGAGATAACGGTTTGCATTTTTTTAAAGTAATACTTAATGAGTCAACCCAATCCAGGATGGTAGCTACTTAAGCCACAATGTTTACCCAGGGCTCGTCCAGCTGGCAGTCTGTCCCGTTGTCCTGTCTGTGAAAACAGCCTCTGCACAGCTTCTAGCAGTGGCGCTTGTGTTTGTAAACAGTAAAAAAAAAAATAAAGAAAAAACCGTCAACCACGCCTTCGATGAATTTCCACATTTCCCGTGCGTGGCGGTCTCTTCCTCTCTCTCTCGCTCTCTCTGGTTTTCTGTTTTGCTTGGTGATGACAGGGGAGGCACGTCCGCAGCAGAAGCATGCGGAAACACGGCGCGGCGGCGGTGGAGGCCGGCTCCGGCCTGCTGCAGCCTCCGGCAGACGCGCAGATGCGCGCAGCAGCGGCTGAAACTCGCTTTCCCTCTTTCCCTCGGCCCAGGGGCAGCCGAGCCCTTCCCCCTCCCAAAGTTTCAAGAGCTGACAGACTGGAACCAGCTAGAAGAGCCGGAGCATAACCTTTCTGACCTTTGACCCGCCGAATCTCGTTCCTAAGCAGGGCGTGGTGAGCCCCAGCAGGCTGTCAGCTGTGTTCTTTGAAGAAGTGGCCTCGCCCTGGACAGCCATTCTGCATGGCTGTAATTCGCTCCATAGGACACTGGGCTTCCTGACTTCCACTTCCTGATCTGACCTCTCCTGTTTCTGCCCTCTGCTCCTTCAGCCTGCCCTACCTCCCACCTCGTCAGTGGGGGTAACTTGTTCCATTAACACTGTTGCACCATCGCAGAAGCAAACTGATCCCATGATCTCGTCCAGCCGCCTCCTGAAAGAACCCAGAGTATCGGCTTCGGCAGCATGGCTTTGGAGCTTGTTCCCCCCTCCCACCACCCATTGTACAAAGAGGTGCTTGTAAGTTGGTAGAACCTCCCATTACGTGACACCCGCATACATGATTTACATGATTTCACCTTGGATAAAGATATCACTGCTGTGGCCTGGCACCCCGTCCAGGGTGTGTCCTACCTTGTGCCCATTGCTTGCTGGGATAGGCTCTGGCTGGATAAGAGACCTGGATAAAAGCAATTAGAAGATGCATGTATGGATAAAGACATCAGCCAATATGAACACATCGGAACCATTGAAATTGTTTTTTTAATTTTCCTCAGTTGTGTGTTTTTGTTGCTAGGATATGCACAGAGGATCCAGCAGTCTTTTGCCCTTCACATGCACCAGCCCATGTGGAATATATTGTGCCTTCACCCTGTCACTCCAGACGCCTCAGCTGGAATTTCTGACATCATGGTTTTTAGAGATTCCTTTTTCCTTTATGATCGTTATTTCCATGGAAATACATTTGGAACCGAGAACAGGAGGCACGTGTTTACCCAGAGGGTGGTGGGAGTGGGGAACAAGCTCCCCAGCCATGTTGTTGAAGCTGATACCCTGGCTTCTTTGAGGACAGAGCTGGATGAGATCCTAAGTGCCAAGGACGCCTCATGGGCCAAATGGCCTCCCCTCGTTTATAACCAAGCTTATGCTCTTATATAGGCACTCTAGCGATCGCATGGGACTGCTGCTGCAGCCTGCAGAATAAAATGAGCATGCGAGGAAAAAAAAACATTCGGAAAAACCATCCTTTTATTCTTCAAGACCAAAGTTACCGGGGGAAACTGAAGACCCCGGAAACGGGTTTTCTTTGTCTCATTTCTTTTATTTTACTAATCTACAGAGTCTTGCACAAATATGCACCAGCCGGGTACGTTAAACCTGGAACGACGTTACTTCCCACAGACTCGTTTCCCAGGAGAGCTGGAGGGCGTGGCGCCTCGCCTTCCGAGAAACGCCCTTTCCGACTGAACTGCCAGCGCAGAGGCGACTTAAATTAGTCTGTAAGGGAGCAGTGCCCCCATTCTCGTCGGCCCCCGCCCCTCTGCGACTCTTCCCGTCCGGGTTTATAGGACTGACAAGAACACTGTTTACAGTAAATCGTGAGACTTGGCTATCGCCTCCTTACCGCACTGCCCTCACCTTTGAAAGAAACCGTTTGAAAGAATCGCTTCGACTCTGAGCGCGCGTTAAAGAAAGAGAGAAAGCCGAGGCCAGGTTGTGTGACACAGCGTGTGAAAGTGAAGAGGCGGACGGGGGTATATTTAGACGCGCAGGCTAGCGATGCAAGCCAGGCGCTAGCTCCAATCTGAGAGCCCTCTTCTCCTTTCAGTCAGCCGGTGCGCTTCCAGGAAAGATGACGAGAGGCAGCAGCGAGAAGATGCCTTATGGGAAACAGAAATGACCTGATTGCACCAGCCGCAGTTGTTGGATTCCAGAATTGCAACCTGTTATCTGTCCTTTTAATATGCATCAGGTCTTTCTCTGTTCTTTGTGTGCCATTCAAGAGTCACGATGTACACATAACTAAACGTTTCTGAATCCATAATGGCAGGGGAACTAAATGAGTGATGCATCAAACTTTCTTGTCCACAGAGAAACGGGGTGTAACACAGATAATCTTCCTGCCCTTCATTATTCCACAGATGTTTTCAGGAAAAATAAAAAAGTAAAAGGTTTAGGTCAACGCTGGGCAAGGATTCAGACACTTTTGCAATGTTGACCAATTAAGCCTTTAATTGCTGTACTTAAACCATTAAGAGATCAGACTAGAATTAAATCCAGGAGATCTTGTGGGAGTGACTGCCACTGATTTCTTACCAAACCAGATCTTGATAGTGCTACAGCTTAGTAAGAAGTAACTGCTTATAAAAACTCTATCAGTATCCTTGCTATGCTATATGATTGTTATGTTCTTAATCATAATAAATGATGCACATTTTCCCAGTGCATTATTAATAGATGTTTGAGTGAGAGTTTTGACATCGCTAGTCCTTGATAGTATAATTAAGGAAATGTGTATTGAAAGGTTCTAATGCATCACTAGAATAAAGACTAACCTTCCCCAGACAGGAAAACACAATCACTGAACTGGAGCCTGAGACTAAACTGATAAAAACCAGTGTTATACACATTGCTTATGACGTGAGAGTAAAGGAGTCATATAAAAGACGGGAGATAACAGTAAGGATCCATCCTGCTTCTGGGGCGCCTCAGTCAGGAAGCCCTTAACCCCCTGGGGTCCCCTCTCCCAGCCCTCCTCCCCTCCACCCTAAGAGCAAGGCTGCTTTCCAAGTGCTTTTCTAGTCTTCTTTCGAGAGCAGCTCTCTTGCTGCAAAGCAGGTTAGACCTCCTGCCCGTGCAGCAGGTCTGTGGTTTTGTGACACAAGAAAAAGCACACTCATTCTGTCAAACCTCAGAGCCCCCACCACAGTGTCACTCATACAAACACCAGCTTTTTCATTCTGAACCAAAGCAAGAGAAACAAAAAAAGAAAGAATTTTCTCATTTTCTCACAGAGAAGGCCTGCCGGTTTCAACCAGAGTCTGCAGGCCCGGCCTGTCATGCCTCTTGCTTTCTTTCTGGCTTGTTTGTGTAGTAATCTGGTGACTTGTTTTCCATTCCCCCCCCCAATGCATCAGCTCAGAGCTGTGCTGAAGTGCCTGCGGTTCACGATTCTTTAAATCCCTAAACGATCTAGGTTCGTCTAAAGCTTTCCCTGCGCCCAAGTGACGAGAGTTCGTCCAAATGACGGCCTGCCTTTCTACAGAAGAAAGGCCTTTTGCACGAAGCAGGTGTGCTCGGTGGAGAAGTCGATCTTTCAATCGATTGTTCAACATTCGTGGTGAATGGCAGCTTAAAAGCCAGCAGCCATATCACAGCCAACTCACAGCTGGCAGCCCACTGGAGCTCAGCAGGTGTGAGCCTGGTCAGTACCTGGATGGGAGACCTCCTGGGAAGAACTAAGGCTGCTGCTGGAAGAGGTGTTAGTGGGGCCAGCAGGAGGTGCTCCCCCTGTGGTCCATGTGGGTCCTAATGCCCCAGTATAGTGATGGGGACACTATACTGTAAACAAGTGCTATCCTTCGGATGAGACATAAAACCGAGGTCCTGGCTCTCTGCGGTCATTAAAAATCCCAGGTTTCGTTTCTTGAAAAGAGTAGGGGTGCAACCCCGGCGTCCTGGCCAAATTTCCCATTGGCCCTTATCAATCATGGCCTCCTAATAATCCCCCTCTATGAACTGGCTATATTACTCTGCTCTCCTCCCCACTGATAGCTGGTGTGTGGTGAGTGTTCTGGCACACTATGGCTGCTGTCACATCATCCAGGTGGGGCTGCACATTGGTGGTGGTGGAGGGGAGTCCCCATTTACCAGTAAAGCGTACAGAAAAGCGCTAAAGAAGTGTCAGCAATTATTATTATTATTAAAACTCTTTCACAAGACAGGTCGTGGCTGGGAATCAGAGCTTCCCATCCTGGTGCTGGAAGGTTGGTGTGTCTGCAGAGTTTCTGGGTCTCTTTAAAGCTGCAGCACTTCAGAGAAGCTGTTAAATTGGGCCAATGAATGTTCTGTTAAAATATCTACATATAAAGTTATACATCTAACTCTAATAAATGTTAGGAGTGGTGATGAGCTCTCCAGGATGTCGGAATGGTATTGACTGCAGCAGAGTTCCCATTCTCACGAGAAGTAGAAATGGGTGATCTACAAAGCCTTTTCAGCTCATGCCGGGTGCTTTGCTGCAGATGCAGATATCGTTTCCTGTCTCATGAGACTGCATCCCCCCCCACCCCAAACCACCACCACTCAGTCTTCATGTCAACCACATCTATGAGAGGCGCTCTCTCTTTCTGTCTTCCACTCACTGCTTCAAGACCTCCCGACTCCCTGCCATCGCGGCTCAGCCGCTCATTGCTTCTCCAATTGACCAGCTCTCTGCGCACTAAGGCCTGTCTGCGAGCTCCCCTGAGCCAGCAGCACCGAGCAAGCCAAGGTGCTTTCTCTCTGCACAAGCTGTGCCACTAGTGATCGGGCTCCCTGCTCCCCCTGCAGAAAGCCATACTGTGCGTTTAGGTTAAGGAAGATCAGCACCAATACGGTGCAGATGCACCACAGTGAAGTGGTCAGCAGAGACTGTCTCTGGGGGTTGGCAGTGGGGAGAGGTTTTATTTCCCAGGCCCCTTTAACTCTGAATGCTAACCCGAGGACGGGGAAATTTGTCATCCTTCATGTCTCACCAGGAAGTCTTAAAGGGGAGGTTGCTAGTTTTCCCTCGACTTCTCTTCTGATGTAAAACTCCCCCTCTGTGTGTGATTCATCCTTCTGCATCTTCTAGGCCTTTCTTCTCATCCTCGTCGCCTATCGCAG